GTCCGGGCGAGGCTCCGTTACCATGACAACATTGCCCTCCTGCCCCCGGGGGCTCTGCATCATCCACTGGTTCTTCCAAGACTCTGCTCGCTGATAGCACCCGGAGCGTGGGCAGGGGGCAGAGGAGTTCCCTGCGGGTCACTCCTGCATCACTGAGGGTTCCCCCCAGCCCATCCTTATGCGTCCGTCCCCAATCAGCTGCCTTCCAACTGCAAGCTCACGCCCTCCTCATCACCCACCCTGGACCTCAAAGCCGCCATGCCCCAGACCTGCCCTAGGTTCCCACTGCTAAGACCCCTTCTCCACTCAACCCTCAGAATTGCAGCCTCCAGGTCGACCCTATCATACACGCAAAAACAGGCCTGTTGCCTTCTCCTAGCCATCCATCCACATGTCTGACAACCCGTTCATTTCCCCACCCATTCATTCATCCACACACCCAACTGACCAAACGCATCTACCCACCCCGTCAACTAACCATCTCTCCAACATCCATCCATCCATCCATCCATCCAAATACCCACTCAAACCAAACCACCATCCACCTCCCATATACTCATCCATCTATCATATAACTAATGCGATCCCATTAGCCAGCTAGCCACTCTCCCAAATCCACCCACCCATCCACCCATCTGAACATCCACTCACTCACCCATCCATGTCTCATCTGCCTGTCCATCCATCCACCACCCAAATAAATACCTACTTACTCACACAAAAAAAAACCCTTACACACACAACCCCCCTCTCACCTACACAGAACCTTCTACCCGGCTACCCAAATACCCATCCATCCATCAGTTGCATGTTTACTTGTCTGTCTCCTCCACTAGAGTGTAAATTCCCTGAGGACAGGAGTCCCATGTGTCTAATTCATTACTGTTTCCCCACTGCTCAGCTCAAGAGTCTCAGGACACTTGAACAAATGTTCATACAATGTGGTACATACTCAAATTCAAATATTTATTTCCTAGTACGATACGGGCCTTTTCTAGGCAGACCTACCCATCCCAGCCAACCAACTTAACTACTCACCTACTAGTGCACAAACATCTAGCAAATGCTAACTTATTCATTTGCCTCTCATCCATCCTACCCCTCACCCATAATTCAAATGTTCACTCAGTTATCCAACCAACACCCAGAGACCTCAACTATCTCCACATCTACCCGCCCCTTCCTTCATCTGCTTCCTAGACCCATGCTCTCCCTGCCATGAGGGAGCTAGTATGGGATAGAAGATGCTCTCATCCGGGGCTTGGGGTTGGTGGAGGTGGGATCTGGGCTTCATTGAGAAGTAGGTCTTGGGCCTAACAAATGATGAATACCTTTTTTTGAATACTTTAAACTACAGGTTTTTTTTTTTAAAAAAACTGTGTAAGGACCTTTAGATACGATTTACCGATGAGGACAATGAGGCTCTGAGAGAGTGAAGGTCTGAAGTCACACAACTGGTGAGAAGCTCTTTACGTCTCCCCCTTTGTGAGCCCTCCAATTAGGGGAGGATTGGGGAGAGCTGAATTGGGGAGGGTGCTTTCTGATTGGCAACACTTAGGGACAAAGAAACCATCAATTTTACTGAAATCAAGATTTTACTGGGCAACCTCACAGTGCCAGGCTGGTTGCCATCTACAGCTCCACTCCACACTGTAGGCCATGTAGGGCTGAGGCAGGGCCCCTAAAACAGGTATCTTTTTGCTTCCAGACCACGTAGGGTGGAGAGGGCAGCTCAGGTGGTGTCTCCGTTAACGCAGAGTTCTTTGAGAGGCAGGGGCTGGCTCCTGGACCCCGACGTCCTGGGAAGATGCTGCAGGCTCTGGACGCCATCCCTCAGCTGGGCTAGAGAGCTCTCCATTTCAGCCAGGCGGCGTTCCTGGAGGGCAGCGGCAGTGGGCTCAGAGCCAGGGGAGAGTTGTACCCCAACCCTTGCTTCCTCGCCGCCCAGACCTGCCCCAGGGTTCAGACAGGGGTTCTCACCAGAGTTTTCAGCTTGTGGGCCTCACTGCTTGGGGGGTCGCGCTCTGGATCCAAATGCGAGGTCCTGTGGAATTCGGGGGTAAGTGGGGGGGAGTTCAGAAGTTGGGGAACTCCCCTCCAGCTCCTAATTGGAGAGTTAGGGATCCTAGGCGGGGCTTAGAGTTGGAGGAGGGGTCTGCCCAGACCAGAGGGCGGGGCCTAGGTAACTTGAAGAGGCCATCAGAGCCTGGAACGCCTAGGACGAAAGGACCAACAAAACCTTTGGAGGCGGGGCTAGGCCGGTCCTGGGTCAGGTGGTGACCGGGATAGGGGTGTGCCCAGACTGAGAGAGCCTGGCCCAACCTGGTTGAGAGGGCCTGATTGAGGGTTGGGGCCTGAAGAGACGACCAGCCAGCGACTTGGGAGGCGGGCTCACCTAGGGGCGGGCAGAGCTGCCCAAGGGGTGGGTCTTAAGTGTGCTGGGGCGGGGCTGGCCTAGGGGGCGTGACCGTGCCGGGCGAATTTGAGTGGGACTGATTGAGAGGCAGGACCCGAATGACAGTGGGTCCTGGGCGATCTGATTACGTCTAACGGCCCACGTAGGGCGGAGCTGATGGAAAGGCAGGGCTCACCTTCCCCCGAGCCTGGCGTCCAGGTCTTGCAGCTGGCCGCGGAGCTGCTGCTGCTGCTCGGTCAGGGACCGGATGTGGGTGCCCAGCGACTCCACGAGGCCGGACAGCACCTTCTGTTCCTCGCGCAGGGTGGCCACCTCGCACTGCAGCTCTGCCAGCTGTAGGGGAGGGAGCCGCTGTATCCTGACCCGCCGTTCCACCCCTTCTTCTCCCGGAAGACCCCGACCTTCCTGTTCCTTGTGCTCTGCCTCCTCGCTGCCCTGCCTCCTGGGGAACATCGCTGGCTTGTACAGGGGAGGAAATCGAAGCGCAGAGAGGGTTGGACGAGGCCCGGGGTAACACAACGTAGGGCGCTCATAACTGAACCCAGACCTGCCTGGCCTCCAGTCTCGTCTCTCCCGTCCACGCGTGGACCTAGGCTGGACCTCACCTTGCCCACGGGTCGGTGCGTGCTCAGCGCCTGGTCTGTGTCTCGCGGCTGGTCCAGCTGGCGCTGCCAGGGTACTGACGGCTTCCGAGGCAGCGAGGCCGAGGCCCCGGTCCAGGGCCGGGCGCGGGGCTTGGGGCCGGTGCGTAGGGAGCCTTTGGGT